GGCCCGGCGGACCCTTGGTCCCCAGCGGGCGGCAGAAACGTGCGGAGTAACTCAGACGACGTTATGTACCGATAACGATTTTTAGATTGTTGTCCCCGCCCCGACTTCCGGCAGGCCACCCTCGCCGCCGCGCGGGGCGTTGCCTTTGCAGCCGCGGAAGGCGGTGGTGGGAACGGCAAGAGGCCCAGCGGGAGGGCAGGCCTGGCCGGAGGGTGCCGGGTTCCGGGAGGCTGCTGGGCCGGGCTACCGTTCGGCAGCTTGGAGGGCTGAGCGCGTGCGGAGAGCTGCGGGCGGGGGTGGGGGTGGGGGTGGGGGTGGGGGTGGGGGTGGGGGGTGGGGAGAGGCGCAGGGGTTGGCGGCGGTGACCCGGAAGACCCTCTGGAAGTGGGACCCATTTCCCGGGCAGGGCCTTCCTTCCTCTGGGGAGATGGCAGTGTTCGGGCTGTAAGGTCGGCGAGAGGGCGCTGAAGGCAAAGGTGGTCAGATTCCGGGTAGTCGCTCCGCACCTACAGAAAAGAGGACTGTCCACTGGTGTCCTGATACCCTGTGACTGGCCATTGATGTCCTGATACCCTGTGACAGTGGAAGAGATCTTTGCAACTGAGCGCCAAGGTGCGGGCCAAGGGGATTCCCAGCGTATCTATAAAGTACAGCTTAGGTAAGCGAGTGAATCCAATTCGGAAACTCGCTTCTGAAAAGTGCACGCTCCCTCCCCCAAATAGTTACGCCAAAGAGCAACCGAATACAGTTGTGCTGCCCCCCAGGAGGCTTTTTGGTACCTCCAGGACCATGTCGCCACACACCTCGGGAGCTCCCAATAAAACCTTTCTCTAGAGAGCATCGACGAGGTTATTACCAGCCTGGAATCTTCAGTTCCTTCCCAGACCTGCGTGAGCAAGTGTTTCATTGCAAGCTGCCCAGCAGGGAGGGGGTTCCTGCGGTGGGGGGAGGAAGAGCCAACCGAATGATCGGGGAACTAGAAGGTGCTGGCTCTTACATCTCCTTGGAGTGCTTGTGACCTTTCCGACCTTTAGTAAGAGGTGGTTCTGCACCAGACCTCGGCCTCGGATTTCTTGATCAAGGCCCTCAATCTGGCCTAAGTACACAATATTGGCTAGCCGCCAGAGTAAACAGTCAAAGGGTGTTCTGAAGGATGAAACGGGACAAGCAAACTTCCCCCCCCCCCCCAGGCTGGAAAGTAAACCGTCTCTGAGGGTCGCCAGGGTAAGTTTTAACGCACACTCAAAACCAGACCGCTTTCTGGGTTCTGCTGCCCTTGAAAAGGGCAATTGATTGATTCCTCCACCCTACGGTCGGTCAGGCCTCAGTCCCCGGATCAGGCACCGAGACACAGATGCCCGGTCCCGGAATGCACGCGAAGGGCGTCTCTTCCAAGAGTAGGATCCTAATCGAGCCAGAGACCCCGAAAAAGATCGCCCATGAGGTGAGACCGAATCGACGCCCCACCCCTGCCGCCGCGAGCGATGGGACGGCCCCTGGCTTACTCAGCTCTCCCTACCAGTGGCTCTAAGGCGCAACCGCTCAAAGTGTAGTTTGCAGGTAGGAGGCCCCCGGAACAGCCAATTTCTGCCGAGGCTCGAAACCGGAGGACGGAAGAGTGTGAGCGCACTGTGCGCCCGGAGCCGGCCAGGCCAGCGCGCTGGAGCCTGGCTTCCCCGAGTTTTGTGATACCCAGCGCTCTAAAGACAAGCCCCGCTTCTGCCCTGCGGCGAAGCCGGCTGCTTCTCCTTCAAGGGTTGGGGCGACTTCGAAGCCCCGGAGGGCGGGAAGGCGGCGCCTCTAGGTGAAGTTTCCAACCGAAGCCAACAAACGGCGCTGTTGCCACGCCCTGGGTCTTGGGCGCCCCAGCCCGAGCCCGAGGGAGCCCGAGCTCTCAGGGGAGGGCAGGGGGAACGGGGAGGGGGTGCTTGGCCGGACTCCGAGCCCGCCATCCGGGACTCGGTGTGTCGCCACGGGTTCCTGGAGGCCCTGAAGGCCGAGAGAGCTGCCGAACGCGCTCTCCTCTCCGCAAGGGGCTCGGGAGTACGGGTCCCGAATCCCGCTGTGTCTCACCGCCCTCCCCCCCCACCCCCCGCTTTCTTCACATGGTGTAGAGTTCGGGTCGGAGACACAGATTCTGGCTCCGCTGGCAGTCTTGCGTCCCCGCAGCCCCCGCCTTTATCGAGGCCCCTCGGGCCGTAGTACCTACCGCGACACTTCTCCCCACGCCCAGCGAAGGTCGCGCCGCTTGGCTGGTGCCTGCGCCTACGCTGCTAGCGGGCCAGGGGAGCGGCTTCCCCTCCGGACTCCCCTGCCCCCCCTCCCCCCGCGCCTGTGATGGTCACCTTGCTCCACTACTGAAACGGCAGTTTGGGTTGAGGACGCTTCCTCAGAAACGTTTAGAAGGAAATTCGGCTTGACTCCTACATGGGGCTGTGCAGACCACCCCAGAGCCAGGAGGCACAGAGACGCCTTTAGTCGCGGCCTCCGAGGGACGCCTGGAGTGTGGAGTGTGGGAGAAGATGTGTGTCCCGGCAGGATACTGGCGGAAGGATGTAATGTGAACGGGCTCACCCAAGTAGCGGGCTAGTTGTGATCAAATGACAAACAGCTGGGGGGCACTGGCTAGTCCCCCAGATAATCTGCTGCGGGGAGAAGTACTGACCCAGCCCCGCATCCCTCGGCTTGGGAAATATGCAGCCCAGGCGCTGTCACCACAACGGCTTACTTGGGTCCTAAAACTTGGAAAGAATCCTGACATCTGTCAGGCTAGTGGACGCCAGGCCGCGCGTCGGTTGGGTAGTTTCCTAAAACGCGCTTCACTTAGCAACAGCCTCGGAGGCCTAGAGAACCCGAAAGGCGTTTTGGAGAAGGCGGCAAGGGGCAGGGTTACCTCACATTGGCTTATTTGGGAGATTGTGGGTTTGCCTAGGAAAATTTGACTTCGTGAGCTAGTTTGCTCGCCTCACGCCCCCCGAAAAAAAGGGGGAAAAAAAGCATGTGCAGGTGGAGATTGCCAAATCGTTCCGTTTTCTGAGACATGTCTTCCAGTGTGTCAGCTTAAGTGCGCGCGCGCGCGCGCGCGCGCACACACACACACACGACTCATACACAGAACCATTCCAGATAGTTTACTTTAAAACCCTAAACCGTACACCCATTCAAATGACTGCAGCCCTTGATCGTGGACATTTGCTTCCTTCCATCCAGAAAAGCAAGACAGAGTAGACCTGGGGGAATCCAAACTTAAGGGGCTGACTTAGGGACCCCAAACTTCGAGGGGATGATGCCGGCCGAGAGCCAGGATTCTAGTGCCAGCGGTCCGCCCACCCCAGAGGGGGCTGGTCTGCTCTCCGCCACCCCCGCTCCCAAGTCACAACGGTATACTTTTAAATTCCTGCAGGAAAGGGGGAGAGTTCCCAGCGTGCAGGTGTCGCAGGATCGCCTGGTCTTGCCTTAGCGCTGAGGAGCTAAGAGCCTGGGTTTTTTATATCGTTTTTCCACACTTAGGATTTACGCTTTTCTTTTGGCTTCCCATCTTTCCACGAAGTTGGGGGGTGGGGGGACCACACTGCGCGGACACCTTATTTCAGTCTCCGCCACTTCTGCCTGGCTGGCTACTCCTTCGCACCCGCCGCATCGGGCGGCTCAGGGAGTTTCAAACGCTGTGCCACTCGCTTGGGCTGGCGAAGGCGATTGTCCGGGTTCCCTCTCCCCGCAGCCGGGGCTCCCGAGAGGCTAGTCTTTGGCAGAAAGCACGATATGAGGGTGAGTGTCCCGCTCCGAGTCTCGAGGCTCTGGCCAGGACGGCGGCTGTAAAAGAAAAAAGAAGGACGGAATCCGTTAGCAGAGACTGCTCCCCGGGGAGGCGGCGCGGCTGCGCAGCGCCAGCAGCGCTCAGTGGTCCTGGCAGGTGCGCGGCCAGTGGAGGGGGCCCGGCGGTCCGCCCCGAGGACGGCCTCGGCTCCTCTCCGGCCACCGTGCCCCCCTCCAAGAAACTTTTCTTTCACTTGGAGAGGCTCCGTGTTGCCATGAAAACGGATTTTCCAAGGGGCCCGACCCTCCCCCTCAGGGGCATCGGACTGGAAAAACCGAAATGGCCAGAGAGCAGAGACAAAAAGGGGCCGCTAAGCGGGGGCCTGGAGCGAGAGAGCCGAGGACGGTTCGCCCCCTCCGCCCCACACACACTCTCCGCACCAGCGCTTGTGAGCGCGTCGGCCCGGCCCTGGCGGCAGGCGGCTGACTGCTAGCCTCCACTCAACCCGGCGGAGAGCCTCACAGCCCCCGTGCGCTCCGCGGTCCTGAAGCCTGCCTCCGGTGGCCGGGTCCCTGACCCCGGCTCCATCCTCGGCGCGCAGGCCCGAGGCTTCCCGGTAGAGGGTCCTGCTGAGACAGGGGCCGATTCCTGGGAGGGCTTCTCGGAGCCGCAACACGGGGCGCCTCCTTTGCGCCCGGAGTCTCCAAGATCGCCTGGGTAACTGGCGATGCCCGTTGTCCCTAGCGCTGGCAGCAGAAGCGGTCGGGGGACCTCCGCTCAGACAGCGGGATGCTTTGCACGGTGGCCCCGAGACCAGACACCGCTCGGCCCTGACGGGGCTGCAAAGTTGTTTTCTGAACCCCGTGGGCGCCCCTCTGCCCCCTTCCCCCAGTCCTGCTCGCGCGCCCCTCCCCCCCCTCCGTCACCTCCTTGAGTTTCGTTCTTTCAAACTTTTTGAGACCCTAATTGGTGGTCTCTGAGCGGCTCTCCGGGACTCCCGCCTCCTGAATAACTCTCATCACGTCACCGGGCCCAAGAGGGGCGTGGGGGTGAACGAAAGGGCTCCCCGAACTTTTTTTTTCCAGTGGGGCCGAACGGGGACTCCGTGATGATTGGCCAGGGCGCATCACTGTGAGCCTGTCAATCACCGGGCCTCCCGGTGGCGAGGGGCGGACCGAGTCCCAACCCCGGGGGATCCGAGCAGGTATATAAGGGACCCGGCGAGCGCCTGGCCAGACTGCGAATGCGGCCAGCTCGAGACAACGCATCAGGTGCGACTCGCCTGCGGGTTCCTGCCGACTTGGCGCGGAGCACTTTGGCAAGCCTGCCCTTCCCGCCTGACCCGCCGGCCCGCCGGCCCCCAAGCGCCCCTCCGACGGAGTCCCCAGGCCTTTTCACCGTGGCCGCTCCAGCCCCGGGAGCGCCTTCTCCTCCCGCCACTCTGGCGCACCTTCTTCCCGCCCCGGCCATGTACAGCCTGCTGGAGACCGAGCTCAAGAGCCCCGTGGGGCCACCCACCCCCGCGGCTGGCGCGGGCGGCCCCGCAGCCCCCGGAGGCGCCAGCAAGAGCAGCGCGAACGCAGCCGGCGGAGCGAACGCAGGCGGCGGCAACGGCGGGGGCTCGAGCGGCGGGGGCGGGGGCAGCGACCAGGACCGCGTGAAGCGGCCCATGAACGCCTTCATGGTGTGGTCCCGTGGGCAGCGGCGCAAGATGGCCCTGGAGAACCCCAAGATGCACAACTCCGAGATCAGCAAGCGCCTGGGCGCCGACTGGAAACTGCTGACCGACGCCGAGAAGCGGCCGTTCATCGACGAGGCCAAGCGACTGCGCGCCGTGCACATGAAAGAGTACCCGGACTACAAGTACCGGCCGCGCCGCAAGACCAAGACGCTGCTCAAGAAGGACAAGTACTCCCTGCCCGGAGGCCTTCTGCCCCCCGGCGCCGCGGCCGCCGCCGCCGCCGCGGCCGCCGCCGCCGCCGCCAGCAGCCCGGTGGGCGTGGGCCAGCGCCTGGACACGTACACACACGTGAACGGCTGGGCCAACGGCGCGTACTCGCTGGTGCAGGAGCAGCTGGGCTACGCGCAGCCCGCCACCATGAGCAGCCCGCCGCCGCCGCCCGCGCTGCCGCAGATGCACCGCTACGACATGGCCGGCCTGCAGTACAGCCCCATGATGCCGCCCGGCGCCCAGAGCTACATGAACGCCGCCGCCGCCGCCGCCGCCGCCTCGGGCTACGGGGGCATGGCGCCCTCGGCCGCCGCCGCCGCGGCCGCCGCCTACGGGCAGCAGCCCGCCACCGCCGCCGCCGCGGCCGCCGCCGCCGCCGCCATGAGCCTGGGCCCCATGGGCACGGTGGTGAAGACCGAACCCAGCTCGCCGCCGCCCGCCATCACATCGCACTCGCAGCGCGCGTGCCTCGGCGACCTGCGCGACATGATCAGCATGTACCTGCCACCCGGCGGGGACGCGGCCGACGCCGCTTCGCCGCTGCCCGGCGGCCGCCTGCACAGCGTCCACCAGCACTACCAGGGCGCTGGGACTGCCGTCAACGGAACGGTGCCGCTGACCCACATCTGAGCCGCCCGCCTGCGCGCGCCGCCCCTCCGCCCCCATCCCGCCCCGCACCCCCGAGTTGGGACGCCTTGTTGTTTAGCTTTGCTTGCCTGGGACCGTTGCCTTGTACCGATGATGGGGAGGACAGAAAGTTTTGCCGTAGCTGTCGGGTTTTGTACAAAAGCGAAAAAAGTCCGGAGCAGCGGAAGTGGGACTTTATAGAGCTCGCCTACCCCTCGCCGCTGCCCCTCCCTCCCCTTTTGTAGGCTGGGAATCGCTGTGATGTTTGCAGAGAAAAAGCCGCACCCCCCCTTCCTCCTCCTCCTCCTCCTCCTGGGTTCCTGGGTTTTTCTGTTGCATTTGAAAATGTCTCGTTAGTTTGCTGTTAGCCGAGGAGTGAGTGAATAGGAGAAGCGTACTCTCGGGGGAGGCTGGCCTCAGAACTGCAACGCCTCCTACCCGAGTCGCGTTGCAGCGATTTTCCTGGTGGGTTTTTGGGGGGCTGACCGCGCGCAGTGGCGCGGCAGCTAAAGCCAATGTTAATTTATAGCCGGGTGTGCGTGTGTCTCCCGCCTCTCCGCCGCTGGCCGCGGGACAGCTTCTGTCCAGTCCGCATTTAGGCTGTTGAGTTGGTGATTTTTGCCGTGATCTGTTTCATATTTCGTCGCGCTAATGTATTCGCATTTCGTTTGGGTGGTGGGGAAGGGGCTATTTTGTTTCAGGGTTTTCAAGGTTTTACTCTTAATTCCTAAATGAGAGATCAATAAATTTTATAACCAACATAATGGAGTCCTGATAATTTTGCGGGCCTGAAACTTTGCCGTGCGGGCTGGGGAGGGGACTTTTCACTTGGGATTAAAACCTTGGCCCCGCCCCAGGGGGAGGCGAGCGTGATCTGAAATGCTTTCTGACTCCTGCTCATCCAGAACTCTCCGGCTCCCAGCCTCTTCTACGGAAACGCGGAAGATCGAGCGGTGGGTCTTCCGGGAGCGCCTGCCGGGAGCCGACACACGCCACCGGCCACCCCGCGGCCACGCACTTGTTGATAGCGGCGAGCGTCCGCGGGAGGAGTGTCTGCGGCGGCGGCCACGCGGGGCGGGGCGGGGCCGCCCGCGGCCGCGGCAACCGACCCAAAGACTGGCCACCTTTACCTCTGTGCACTGGGGCGGGAAGACATGTGAGCCTAGCCGAAATATTTACAAAACGAAAACCCTTCGGAAATCTCCATTATCCTATTAGAAATAAATGGTTACAGGAATCCCTGGCAGGAAATAAGGGCATTTGCACCGTGGTGGCCGAAGCGGTGGAGCTAGCGTTCAGCCCTAGAAAGTCTGGTTTCTAAAAAGTACACCTTAGACTTAAGATCTGGAAAACTCTCCGATGACTTTTTCTTTCTGACTGGGCAACCCAGGCCGCTTATTTGGTTTCTAGAAGAGGCCCTCTCTCATCCCAAGCCTCGAGGACGCTTTCTACTCCTCCCTCCCTCCCCGCCTCCCCGCCACTTTCCCCCAATCCCTGACCCTTAGGCATTCCACCGTGCCCCCCAAAGGCCTTTGGTTTCGCGCCCGGCCACACGGTCCCAGTGTATCTGTTTGGGGCCTAGGAAGAAAACAAATAGAACCAGTGTTTTTTTACCCCCTCCTCAGCTGTTTGAGGTGATTTCCTTAATCCCTTTAATCCTGTTACCTCGCTATCCCAGAATAACTAAACTCGGGCTTTCCAATAAGCTTGGCCTGGTGCACTGTTCTTATATTCCTCGTCCACTCTTGACCGCAGGTTTCTTTGCTTCAGGTCGGCTGGGACTCTGGGCGACAGAATCTCCCATAAATTGGCCCGAATTCCACATTTCCAGCCGGCTTCCTTTGTGCGGGCCAGCCATTCACCTGCGGGCCTGGGCGGGCCCCAGGGGGAGGGGCGGAGGCTTTCTGCGGCCTCGGGGGTCGTGCCCGCTCTTTACACATCACTGCGGATCCTGGAGACTAAGCTCACCACGCCTCTCCGGGAAAGGTCGGGTCTCCAGGAGAAGGCAGCGCCACCCCTCCCCCGCAGACGGTGGCACGCTCTCCCCCCCCCCCCCCCCCCCCCCCCGGCACCTAGCAGCATGGGGTGGGAGAGCCAGCCGCGGTGATTTGCAGGCCCCCGCGCGTTGCCCTCTGCCGGGTGCTCCTCTCCGGCCTGCAGCGTCCGGACACGGCTCGGGCTCAGGTCCCACTCCCCCCCCCCCTCCGCCCCCCGTCCCACTCCTGCCTCTCCCCATCCCAGGGTCACAGACCTGCGGGCCCCCTCCCCCTGGCTGGTGGGTGCTGCCACACTCGCCGCCGTGATTGGAGCCTAGCAGGCTGCCGGGGCGGTGAACCTCACAACCGGCCCCCCACCGTCGCCCCCGCGCTCCACTGCCCCCAGGGCGGGAGGAACCTCTCTTGTCGCATCCACACCCTGCCCCCCCTTCGTTTCTCTCACAGTGTTTGGGCCTCGGGAAAATACCTGGCCATAGGTTACTCTGGGTTCACACTGCTACCGATAGTGCACACAACTTTGGTCTGAAATGACTCCAGGGAAGGGACGGTGCAAACAAGTAATTCCGCCCCACTGAGGGGGCGGGGCCAACGGGGGAATAAACTGACTGCTGCTTCTCTCCGAGAGTCCATTGTGCTGCTGCCTTCTGAAAAGTGCGAAGGTCTCCCCTTCCGCGGGCTTCATATACTGCTCGCGCCCTCTCTAAACATCCATGGCTTTGTATCTGATTTCCAAATTGCCTTTAAGAAGAAAGATTTCATCAATCGGCACATTTGGAGGGTTTAAATACAGATGAAAGATCTTTCAAAAAAAAAAAAAAACACCCCACAACAACAACGTTAGCAGTAGGGAAGAGAAGGGAACTGGACTAGACGAAAACTTCCATCCTCCTGACCCGACTCCCCCCCCTCCCCGAGAGCACCCTTTCCCTGCGCCCACTCTTCTCCCATGTGCCTCTTGCAGGACACCTGCCCCGTGATCTGTTTCACGGATTGGGGCTCCAGTAAGATTTAACTTGAAATAAGGGTTCTGCTCTTACATGGCAACAATAACAAAACCTGCCTCTTCTAGCTTGTTTTACACGAGGAAACTGGCCCCGAAGGGGAAAACTGCGCCCAGGATTGCTTAGCTGGGGCACAGAGCCACACTCCCAGAGCCGCGAGGGCTTGCTGTTCCACCACAAGACGGAGAGAAACCAATGCAATCCCAGGCCCAGCTGCCTCTCAAGCCCATCGTGGGGGCACAGTCTCTATACAAAATAGATAATTCCGGACACACACACCTCGGAGCCACCGCTTGTGAATGGTGAAGTGATGGTGTGGAGCACAGAGTCCTTCCACAGTGGAAGACCAGCCGGTCCTTCAGCTTTCTGCTGACAGGAACAAAGCCACCTCGTGCTGAGAATTCTCCCACATAGAGATTTGCTTTCCTGTCCACTCCACTCAGCTCCCCTCCTTAATCTCCCTTCTAGAAATCGAGAGGGGGAGACGGCATCCAAAATGCAGACCAACATTTATAAACAGATGTCCATCACGGAATTCCTTATGACAGTGAAAGTTCCATGCAACCTAAAGGTCCAACAAATAGAACAAGGTGATTGAAAATATGTTTTCAAAAAGGCTTCCGTGCAGATAATGAAAATGGTGTGTGGACACATTCTGATCACAGGGCAATGTTTAAAACAGGAAGCCAAAAGAACAAGATACACAAGAGTGCGTTCAGCATGTACGGCCTATTTAATAATACGTATATATGACTGGGAACATATGCAAAAACGCCAGGCACTTATTACGAATCCTGGTTGGTCTCCCTTTTATGTTCTCATACTTTCCAAATTTCTCTGATAGGATTGTATTCCTGTTATCACTGGAAAATGCAGGTTTAAAATTCATTCTCTCCCTATGGCAAATACAGAAACGGGGCTCCTGGTGAAAGAAGAAAGTTCCAGCTTTCCTGGGATTTGTTTTGGGGCGAGGGTGGGGGAGGGCAGGGAGCGCAGTAATCCTCCACTCCTCCTCCTCCGGGATGGGGCCTGCGGTGATCACAAGCAGGACAGCACCCGAGCAACCCCCACCCCTCTTCACCCCTCCTCGCCAAGCACCCTCCTCGGTAAACAGGAGCAGTATTAGGTTAGTGCTGGCTCTGTCATTCTTCAGACCCACTCACTGGAGAAAAACACCTCCTTGGGAGCCAAGCTGAACAGCCTGGGCCTGCAGGAAGCAAGGGCCACTGAGAAACCAGAAGGCTCATAAACGCGGGGGACTGAGCAACCCTCACGACCCTCCTGGGAGAGGGGCAGGAGAGTAAAGCCCCTGGGTCGGGTTGGCCAGGCGAAGGAAGGGCTCGGTAAGTACCCCCAGCTGCATGGAACACAATACGCTGTGTCCCTCTTCCCCACGGCCACCAGCCTCACGCACACTGGTAACATTGCTTGCGGGACCACTGCCATGGCCTCGGACCCGTTCCAGTTCCCACTCTGCTCCCCACCGCCCCATTCTCTGTAGAAAGCTTCATTCTCTGTACAACGTACCTTCACTTTTCAAACACAAATGCTATCATCGTCACTTCCCTTCTTAATAACCTCCTGGTAGCTCCCTATTTATTGCTCTTGGAAAAATATCCCAAACCTCTGCTGGACCCAACTCCTCCCCACCTCTTTGAGCTCAACGACTCCCTCCCTCAACCCCAGCCAGGATTCCTTTCTGCAATGTCCGCCGAGTAACTAAATCATAGTTCCTGATAGTTTCACATCTAAACCGATTTTAAAGTCCACTCATTGACATAAAGATGGTTGGGCACAGTACACATTTAATTTTGCGGGAGTTCATCTGTGGGATCTCCCCAAATCTGGACATGAAATGTAGATTTTCTAACAATAAAACCTACTAGCAAAAATGTATCATTTCTTTCCTGCTTTGGAGCTCTTGAACTTGCTGTTCCCTTTTCCAGGAATGTTCTTTCACAAACTCTTCCCTCAGATAGTCTAAAGGCCTCCAAGAAGATCTCAG